CTGCTGAAGTGAACAAAGCATCCATTCCTCCAGTCAGGCCCAATATTTAATTTCTGTCATGTAGTAAGCTCTCTTAGTAACGTACGAAACTTCAGGCAACTGTAAATGTGTGCATAATTTAGTGAAACTTCTGTTCATCTAATAGTATATTCTAATTTCAATTAAATTAAGACTTGTAGAAAAATGGTCTTAGTTGAGCATTGACAAAAGCTTGTCCTATTAAAAAAAAAGGAAACACAGAGTTACGACAGCTCACATTAAAAAATGATGGATGACTGTAATTATGACAAACTGACCTTGAAGACAAACAGTTTTAATTGTGAACTTGAGGGAAAAAAATCCACATGACCTGTGGCTAATTATCTAGTTAACTGAAACCCCTTACTAAATGAATTGGGCTTTGGAGCCATTTTAAACACATACTGGCATAAATAAGGTACTTCTTGTGCTGGTTGCACTGTAGTTATAACCTGTGAGTGATTGCTTGTTGTCACTTTTTGACATCTGCTGGCAGCAATTTATTTACATAGTTCAATCTCCTGGGACACTGTTTTGTCTCCTGAATACAACCTCAACTGATTAGTTTTCAATAAATTACATATATCAAGAAATTTGGTTTCAGTAGCACTTGGGGTGATTGCTCAAAGATCATATGTGTGCTTGTGCAGAAGCCAGGAAAATTCATGGTCGGTGACATACTACCTCTTCATTCTTTATTCAGCCAGCATTCAAAGGAAGTTATCCATTATATCTCACTGAGAATTCTTGTAAAAACTCAGAATTCTGTCCCACCTTCTTCCACATATCTAACAGCACTTTGCTGAGCCACAACATATTGAATAAATTGGAAAGTCTTTGATTCTGTCTACTTGTCTCAGACTCAGCCAATGAAGATTTTGTAAGAATCTAAAGTTAATTTTACTGTATGTTCTCCTGTGGCTCTTAGCAAAATATATGTAAATCTGTTGAAATGGAATAATAGTGATCATTTGCATTGCAATGGGAAATGCTTTCGCTGGAACTAACAAAGTTTAAAAGAGTCTTTTTTACATATTGCTTCTGAGTTTGGGGTCATTTGTGCTGTTCAGATTGCATGCAGTGTTAATAGTGAAACAGAGGTTTCACTATTAACAATAGTTTCCACTGAGGCGACAGTGTCTTTGAGACTGTAGCTCCCCAAGCATAGTGCCAGTTTAAGTGTCCTCTGCATTTACAAAGAGACAACAGCTCCATTTCAGCTGTACTCTGTTGTGCTCAGAAGATAAGTTACTGTGATATATATTTTTGTATTTTTCTTCAGACACGCTCACTGATATTGAAATAGTAATTTTTCTCTAGGGCTCAGAGCAGAAGCTATGGTATTGCCATGCCCTGTAATGCAGCCTCTGACCCAGGAGATCAGTCAGTAACATGTCTATGTTATAATGAATGAGTCAAGATAGCTTCGAGCTGAGTACAGCTCATTAAATCTCCTTCCACTTGATTAGGTTTTTTGCCTTAAATAAGACGATGGGCAGAAAAATGATGTTTCAAGGTATGTAACGTGAGCAGGTGAAGTCTGCTGGGGGCAGGAGGGAATGCCTGCAGTTTTGATTGTAGTGTGTGTATTTTCCCATAATTTCAAGCAGCCAGAAGCTGCTGATGGAGCTCTGTTGGTAGAATAAATTTGCTGAAGAACACGAGATGCTGTTGAGGGATCTTCCTTTCTAGATTGTTAAATTGTTGGCATTTTTTCCAGGTCTGCTAGGGCTGTTCATGGTAGGAGAGGAACCAATGTGATTCTTTCAGTGAAAGTGTCACTCCTTGTATTGGCTGTGGCTGGTTTTTGGGTGAAATCTCCTCATCTTTTTCAATCCATGGGAGAGTTATCTCCTGTCTGTGATATGTTCTTGCTTTGCGTTTTGACAGAACAGAAAGAAACTGTGACTATTAATAGGTACCATTTATAATGTGGGAAGGGTATTCTCTGAAGGGCAGGTACATACACCCTAGTGCCTGCTGGATGAACTGTCAGCCTGATTTTTGCATTTTAATCAGGCTATGCACAAATCTGGTCATTACACGTGAATTGCATGGGCATATTTGCCAGTTTAAGTAATCAATTTCTTTTTTTAGACATTGTAATTGTGTGCAAGGATAAAGTCTGTTGTTTAGTACCTTGGTCTTCCAAAGAAGTCACATATAGGTGTATATTTGTTTGTATCCAGCAATTTTTGTTATATTTTGATGAACATTGTACTGTTGCTCATGTTTCCTCAGTTTTTTACTGTCTGGATTCTAAATAAGTCATCACTATAATTTACTTCAGGGGCACATAAAGAAATTATATAGATACTAGAGAATCATAAACATGCAGTGGGAGATAATAACCTGCTATTGCTTGTGGACTTTTTTTAAAAAAAATCATTCTGTAGTCGTTCTGCTGCAGAGCTAGAATTCAGCATTAAACTGTTCAAAAAACCGTCGGAAAGGATTTTCGTAAAATGAATTTTGTTCATCTTCTTAAATGTTCAGTAAGATAATTTTGTAGAAATTTTACTTGTAGCTTTTCCAAGCCACTATTCCATTATTTCTAGAGCACTTTTAGATATGAAATACTGATAACCTCATATCTTGAGGATCACCCTGTCTGACTTCACTCTTGCCAGTGTCTTGTCTGGACTTTAGTCTGTACCCAGAAGTGTCATAGGGTAGCATTGTTCTCTTTCCATTCTTTTTCTGTCTCTGTTCACATATTTGTGCAGAAAAACAGCAGAAATAAACACGCTATGGGCTCTCTGCCAGAACCCATGTTCCAGAGATGATTTTGAAGGCATCTCAAAGGAGGGAAGAGAAACTGTTTCTCCTAATTGACAATATTGTTGACTTGAAAAGCAGGATTTTTCTTTCTCGGCTGCCTTTGTCAGTAACTGTTGTAATAGCTTCCTCTTTTGTTTCTGGATGGATTTAGGTTGTCCAGATGTTTTGGTCCTGGGTAGATTTTATTCTCTTCACACTGAGAGGATAATTCACCTCTTGAAAACTCATAACACTTTGCATTTCTATTAGTTTGTGTTGGGCTGCTGTGTTACACCCTGTACCAGAGTCAGGCATTCAACAATGTGACAAATTGTCACGTGGTGGAGTTTTACCATCTCCTTAGTTACTTGTCTGCTGTTTTCAGTCTCTGTCAATGTTTATTGCTAACATGAGCTTTGCTCGATCACGGTACTTTACAAATTTTTATGGACAGCAACAGCATTCGGAAGCATTTCTGTTTGCTTCAACCATCACTTCACTGTTTTTGTAGTTAATGAAGCCCAGCTTTGCCAGTTTCTGTCTAACTTCTTTATTTCGCTAATATTGTTGACCAGGAAGCCCTTTTTAGCAGAGCTGAAGGCTTCCTGCTGGGCTGGGAAGTTAAGTTGCCTTTGTGCAGCTGTAATGTACTTTTCTTGAAACTCCAGACCTCTCACAGGTACAGCTACTGACTTGTGGTTTGAGTGTGATCCAAAGTTACTTGTTAAAAATGATAAGAAAAAAATACACAGAGTAATATTTGCTTGATGCTATAATCCCTACTGATTTGAACAAGGCTGGGCTGTATTTAAAAAAGGTTCCTAACCTTCACTGATAGAGTAATTAAATCTCTGTGTTTGTGTGTTTGGTGTGTGTTTCAAATGTGAAATTTCCTCACTGAGGAGACATTTTGTTGCTAGATATCATTAGCTAACGTAAAAATACAAATACCTGTACATAAAAACATACAGACTAAGGTTTTGTGTGCTTATAGATAAGTAGGTGTATTTAGTTATTTAGAATGCCTCTGTAGAGATTTCATCAGAGAGAAAATTATAGATTCTGTGTTTCTGTTCAAAACAAATTAAACTTCTGAGACTTAAACTCAGAAAAAAAATTACTTTGGAATAGGAATATATCAGACCAATATATGCTTTTGAATGTAAGAAATCTGTTTCAGCTAATTTTATTTTTATATAGTTTTCAAGAAATCCAACTGCTAGCCTTCAATGTTTAAAAATGATATGCTTTAAAACCTCTGTGGTTAATTATCATAAATATCACAGTTGTGTAGAAACTTCACATATGCAGTATGTCATGACAGTAAGAATGGGATGCTCTGAAATGATGAATCCCAGGAACTTGAAATATCTTCCTGAGACTTATAGAGAGTAATATTTCCCACCACAACCTCAGTTTCCTGTCGTTACAGTAAAGGACTTGGGATCTTGCACGTGAATCCTTTTTCCAGCAGGTCCTTTGGTAATAATAAGCTCAAAGTCAGCAATTAAAGCCTTGGGATGCATGCAGGTATTACTAATTATGAATCTTGCTTAGTGGACAAAAATACTCTGTACAATTCATATGTGAATCAGCTTCTTCACAGAAAGGCGTAGAAGTCTAACATAGGAAGCTGAGAAATGAACAGAGGGCGATGAGTGACATGCATGTTGTTTTTTGTTGGGAGATGGTTGGCAGTGTTTTCATTTTGCCTGCATGGGAGTTCTGGAGACTGTCTCATACCATGTGGCATATTAAGCACAATAAAGATGTTCATTTGGCAGCTGGAGCATGACTAGGAACATCAAAAGAGTCATATATGCATCAATAAATGAAGAACTCTGTTTCCATGTAAATAAATATTAGATCACTGTTTTAATTGCCTGTTGAGTTCTTGACAATGAGACACAATCACTAGTCATGTCTGGTGTAGCAATTTTAGCTTAGGGCTATAGCTGAACAGTTACTGTTGTTAATTTTTTGCACTTCTGGAGCACCTTGAGCACCGAACATGAACCATTTTTTTTGCAAGTGCTGTACAGACACAGAGCAGACAATTGTTCTTTCCTATAAAGAGCTTGCAGTCTAAACTCCTTAAACTCTAATACAAAGTGAGTGTGCGGGAGGACATGGGAGGTTGTAGTGTGTGTGACCACTTGTCAGCTGCCGTTCATGCAGTATGTTCATGTGAATAATGCCAGTTATCCGTCTCATGGCTTTCCTTACATTTCATTTCTGCCACAAATGCATGAAAATTATAAACATCATCATACATTGTAAAGGTCATACACCATCACAGTTGCCAAGCAGCGAAGTCTTATATATTGGGACACCACCTTTTCATTTTAGGCAGATTGTGCTGGACAATTTGATCTCTTCTCCCCATGAACTATGGCAGAGTTGATAGCGCATGGTCAATTCAGCCAACTGACACAGATTAAGCTAGTGACTTTTTTTTTTTATCTTGGGACTGTTTAAATGCTAATCTGAAAAGTTCTTATTAGCAGAACTCTTTATAATGGGATATTTTATTTCTAAAAAGAGATATCCATACGTCCTTCTTGAAATCTGGCACTTTTGATCATTTAGATAGTTTCTCAGTGGAACAGTCGAGCTGTTTCTTGTGTGTGCTTGTTCGTCTTGTACTCAGAAGTTCTTAGTCCTCTCTAAATTTCCTTCAGTCTTGGGAGAGAGCTCAGTGTCCAGGACTCAGCTAGATGAATAAACTGTGTAGTAAACCACAGTGGTTAGTTCACTGCATTTTTGTAGTTTTTCTTTTCTCTAATGACCCCCACATATACAGACATAATGTAGACCTCAAAAGAAAGGAACATTAATTTAATCTAGAACGTTTTTTTGTGTAGAAAAGACTTTAAGGTGCCACCTAGTCTAGCTTCATTGTCTGAAGCAGGATCAGGTACTAAGATTGGTCTTGTGTGATTTTGGATTAAGCTGGCATTTGATTTAACCTCATGTTAAAACCCTGCAGTGGTTACCTCTTTCTAATGGTTAACTGGACAGCTTTCTTCAATATCTGTCTGAACCTTCCCACAGCTGATGTTCAGTAAACCCTGTCTAGTTTCTTGTTACACAGGTTAGCACTTGCAGGACATGAGGAGCCATTACTTAAACACTATAGTTTTTACTCCTGAGCACCTGGCAAGGTGTGAAAGTGTGGTCAGTGCCAGGGCCAGCCCTTTAGCTATATAGCTGCTACTGGAGCCTGCTACAGGCAGCTCAAATGCTGTAAATTTTGCATACCTACATTGTCTTTTCCCCAGAAGACAACTGATTTTAAGTAAGAAAATGTTCGCAGTGAGGGGCATTGTGGGAATGACTAGGAATGCAATGCAATCTTGTGTAATGTTCCCTGGTCATCCCAGTCCAGGAGACATCATCATTCTGAGAAAGTTCACATTTGACTCTGACTTCAGACTGGGGAATTTATCTAAGTCTACAAGTCTCTTCACCTTTCTTAACAATTGGCTTCAGTTTCATCTCTGTCGGCCCTTGGTCTGAATAATCTTCAAAGTTCTCTAGCCTTATGATCACTTCATCTTCTTCTACACACTTCTAATTTCTCTCCTACATATCAGTACTTCTCAGAGCCTTTTCATTTTCTCTCCCTCCCCTTGCTATTAACCTCATCAAATACTCTTGTTTCTGTGGTAGAGTTGGGAATTGAAAGCATCAGTGCTTTTGGATGAGATCTGGTAAGAAAACAGTTTCCCACTTTCAAAAACTCTCCGTCTGCTCTTGTTGGAAAAAGTTTCAGGGTTTCATAAAGCGAGGTCAATAGATGAACAAAATATGAAAGGTCTAAAAATGTCAAGTTCATAACTCCAAGGGAATATAGAATATAGATCCAAGTACTTCTCCTTATTCCATGTGTTGAATCTGCACGTGGTCTTTGAATTTCTGAAATGCACACAGATGGCAGCAGTGCAGGAAACTCAAGGTTTGCGAATGTTGAGCAGCAAGGTGAGAGAAGTGCACTCCCAGCCAGCTTCACCCCTCTTTTTGAAGTACAACACGGCCTGGCCTCTTCTTGAATGTGACCTGTAGTGTTTGGCTGGGTGATGCTATAGCTCTGAACTATGACACTTTTTTAAAAGTATTACTTTGTCACAGTTTTGTTAGAATGTCTTTTTTTTCCTTTTCTTTTCTTTTCTTTTTTTTTTTTTTTTACTTTCTACTCCTGACATAATTAATTTCTCAGAGACTGGTGCCAAATTTTTCCAGATGTAAGTTATTAATAGACAGTAAATCACCATTAGTTTTTGACTGAGAAGTGCATATTTATTCAATATAACAAGGTGCCTTCCTAAGACCCTGTTTTGTTGTTTTGTATTTGTTTGTTTTTTAAGGGAGGAAAAGAGTAAAAGTAAGAATCTACTCGTAATTCATCAAGGCTCTAAACTATACAGCAATTAGTATAGAGAATTTCAACTTCCCACATTTGTGGTGACAGGAAAATTTTGTCTTCTTTTGTGGGTTGGTAGCTCTAGGAGATTGCAGTGAATCTGTTAAAATGCCTGCCATATCACCAACATAAATTGCAATGGGTGGTTTTACACCAGGGACGCCTTGCTAACAGAGAGCCTTCCATCAAAATCCTGCTGTGAGCACAAGACCCTTTCTGCGAGCAGTTCCCGGCCTCGGAGGGCAGCCTGGATGCCAGCACAGGCTGAGCACTGTGAAATTGTTTTAAATTGCCCAAGTTCTGTGGTTTTCCTCACCCTGCTTCTCCTGCAGCGCGAGACTTTTCAAGCAGGGGTCTGCGACGTGACAGACCACGATAGGTTTGTCTGGAGGGACTGGAGTATCCAAGGCAAAAGAGCTTTTTGTTTCTTTTTTTATTTATAATCCCTCTCACTTTCAATGAAATTCAATGAAATAGCAAATGGGCTCATGAAATTCTGTTTCTTTACCCCACTGTGAATCCAAGGATAGTTCTCTTGCCCTCAAGTAAAACAGAGGAAACAGCTGAGCCCGTCAGCAGCTGGTGGTGCCTTGTGGAAATGTGTTTAAGAATGGGGCAAAAGGCTCCTGGAGGTGAGGGGAGAAAAGTGTGACAGAGTGGTGTGAGCCCTGGGGTAGGAGGAAGAGGAGGACAAGGAGGAGGATGAAGGGCTGCAGCTTTAATTTGGTATTATTCTCACCATCCAAAACTATTTTAACTGGCAATTAACTAAATTAATTTTCCCCAAGTTGATTCTGTTTGGCCTGTGATGATGATTGATAAATGATCACACTGTCTTTACCCTGACCCATGAGATTTTTCATCTTCTTTTCTCTTGTTATCCCACTGAGGTGAAGGGACTGAGAGAGGAAGGAAGGTGAGGGATGACTGGGTGGGCATCTGGGTGCAGCCCAAGGCCAGCCCACCACTGTCAACTGGGTAAATGGTGTCCCACATCTCATGTTCTGTGCCTTATCCTGAAGTCTGGGCATTTTAGATTTTTGCATTCGGTTAATTTGAATTTAATTATTCTCATCAATATTCATCATAAAATGAAGTTGTATTCAAATTCTGGAACCAGCAACAGTTCTTCTTCACTGTGGTGGTTCTGCTTTGGAATCCAATCACAGTAAATACCTGGAGAGGAAGGATCTCCATGAGGTCCTCTAGCAGCCCTGTCTTCAAGGTGGTACGCCTGGAAACAGATGCAAAATTTGATGAAGAGGATTTCTGTGTTGTGTGGCCAGCTACTGTGAGATCCTGTCTGTTCTTCAAGACTAGTTGTAGAGATCACGTAGTCAAGAAAAGTTTAGGTATTGGCCAGATTGGGAGAAAATCTGGGATTTTTTTTTTTCTTTAAAAACAATGACCCGATAGAAGAAGTCTATACGGTGAATTTAAACAGTTATGCAAAGGGCTTTATTTTCGGTAAAACTCCATTGTCTTTGAACTCGTGTAGTCTGTATCCCTGTCTGTATTAATTTCTGGAAGTGTAAACCAATTTTTAAAGATCTAATCAAAATGAAATCAAAAATCAAAATAGCAAGAGCATAGAGGTAGGTGAAAAGTCTACAGCAGCAGAAATTTAAGGAACAGGTTGAGAATACACAACAGATTGTCTGCAAAAAACCACACTTTATGTGTAAATTGTTCAGAGATGCCAAACCCTGAAAAGTTTACTTAGCAGTTACAAGTTTGATGTGAAGGCCTCTTAATCATATAGCTGATGGTTACATCACAAATATTTTTTCAGTATTTTGTGCAAAGTGAATCTACTGGACTCAGAAAAGGAACTTGAGGCAAAATCTGAAACCTTTTTATTGAGATATTTTTCTCTTTGTGCCAGCCTTCCTAAATATTTTAAATCTTCCATGTAAAGTGAAACAGGATTATTGACAGTTACTGTTTAATTAAAGGTTCTTATAATCCTTAGCTATATTGGTAGTGCACGATACCATAGTCCTTGTAGTTAGTAAGAAATGTTAGTAGACTATGAGGCTGAATAAACAACCAATTCCAAGCATAAAATTTTATTGGATATCTGAAACTACTTTGCCAACAGAAAAGCCTTTAGAAATACTGGGTTACGATGAGGAGGGTGACAAGGACTCTGCTGCTGCTGTCCAATTTTTAGAACTAGGTGTACATTTGATTTGAGCGATCACAAAATTATCATGTCCAAAGTGTTTTATCTCTTACCTCCTCAATTAGCATGGCCTAAATCTTTTCATCCTTCAAAAAGTGCACATTTGTAAGATTTGTGTATGAATTATAGTCACACAAATATAAAGCTTCTTTTAAAGTTTTTGCTCTTAGATTGGGAAACATTTCTTCCTGAGACCTCTAGACAAGCTGGTAACATAAAGATGTTTGAAGTCTATCAAAGTGCATACTTATAATTGTGCTTTTTCTTTTTTCTTTTTCCCTCCCAGTGGAATTTGATGACTGCAAGGGGAATAACAAATTGAACTTCGAAGTTTCTAACCCAGACTTTATGGTGGAACGTGACGGGTCTTTAGTTGCACTAAAGAATATATCAGAAGCTGGCAGAGCCTTTTTTGTACATGCGCGGTCTGAGCATGCTGAGGATATGGCAGAAATATTGATTGTTGAAGCAAAAGAAAAACATGGTGCATTAAAGGTAAGATAAACACAAAGGACCACAAGAAAGTTCCTAGAAAATGCTGCTAGATATTTATATGTGCCATCTAGGACTGTAAGAAGTTTTAATGTTAGTGGTTATCAAAATCAAACTTCAGATATTGCTCTAACTGTTTAGCTCTTACTTTAACTTAAAATACAATTTTAGAGGTTTTGAAAGATGTATTATGTCTTCAGGTATAAATGCTAAACATTCATAAAGAATTGATTTAAATAAAAGATGCCAAGTATCAAAATTGGCTGGTTCTTCTGGTGTGCATTATGGCAGATAATGACAGTTTAGCCATAACTGAAAATGGAAGATCATACTCTAAATGTGCCACTTAGAATTTACAGAACCTTCATGTTTGCTCCAGGTCTGTGGGAAACGAATTCTATGCTGTGGAATTTAAATTTTCATATAGGTCTACTTCTCTGATACTGTTATGTGTTAAACTATATAAACATCTGCACACAAATAGCAACATTTTTGTTCCACTCTATCCACTGAATAACAGTTCTTTTGCACTTCTGAATTTCAGTGTAATACTAACCTCATACTATGAAGAAGAAGTGCTTCACAAATTGATTGAATTGTTCACTTCAAAGCCATGAAAGTAACAAAAGGAAATGTGAGATAGCCTTCACTTCAGTGTCATGGCATTTAGGAGAGAGGCAGGCTAGACAGTGGCTCACTAAACAATTAAGCCTGGTATATTTGCAGACCTATAATTTCAAGAAAGGGTAAAGAAGCCATGATAAAAAATGACTGATCTGTTGACTTATTTTGGCATTAAGTAGCTTAAAGTAACTTAAGTTTTCCATTAAAAAGAAAAAAAAAAACTTTGGAAGAAAGGTTGAACAAATTTCTCCAAGTCCATGGCTGAGGAAAGGTTTTGATGTGCGCTTTAAGCATCATGCAGTGTGAATATAGATTGCCAGCAGTAGAGAAAGTACCAGAATGTGTAACTGCAGGCAGCTGATCAGAGCACTTAAACAGAATTTAATTTTATTTAAATATGCTGTTTCTTCACCAAGTTAAGTTTTAACAAGGTCGTACTTGAGAGAGTCTCTCACATGGTGGAGCTGTATGTGGATTTAGGACCGCAGACTGCCAAATTCAGAGTAGGAAAGCTACGCTTGCAGAAGTGGGGCACTTGGCTGTCCTGTGTCTCCAAGTAGCAAGGCATGCTCCTTCTGGTGCATTTGCAAGAACGTTCACATGATTTTGTTTTCACTCCAGGTTTTGAAATCTTAGGAACAGTTTAAAAATGGGGATTGTCATTCCAGTTAGAAGTTCCTGAAACCACAGAGGAGTTGAGACATCTCTGACAGGAAGTCTGGAGTTAAAGTTCAGGGGATTGGTTTATGACTCTTTGAGAATCATATTCTGAAATTTTATTCTGGTTTTCTTGGAGAAGGCAGCTCTTTGGTGTTTTTGAGATATTCTGTGGAAGTTACAATCCAGGGAAAATATACAACAGATGTGTATGTGCACACACTATGACGTAGCTGTGTCAGTGACCTTTTCTCTTTATGCCCTATTTGGGTTCTAGGTAGTGTTCCCTCAGAATGTTCCAGCAATATTAATTAATGCCTAATGCTGAAATCTATTACCAGACTCCATTGAAAAGCCAAATCTAATTTGGCCACACTCCTGGATTCTGTTCCAACCACTTTGTGTTGCATTGAAGAGAGAAATCCAGCCTAAATCTGGCATATTCTGCCACTTGCCAGTCTTGCCTCATAGATGACTCCTCAAAGAAGTATCACAGCATATTCTCCACCTACATTCATCACTTCTTTATGGATTTTGATATTCAACTTATAGCCCGATTACTACCCTTTTAGCATCCTTGGTGTCTACAGTGCTGTTGAGAGTTACGTGATGCATTAATATGTCCTGGAAAATCCATCTAGTGAGGATCATCCCCTACTTCAAGGGCATTTAAAAGACCTTTGGGGCTGGCTGTCCTACTCTGGCCTCAGCAAGTACTCTGAAACTGTTCAGAGTCAATATTTTTAACCAACTGTTTCAGCTATTGTTTGCATATTTTAAACACAACACAGTCTTGTCTTTCTGTTTGTCATAGTTGAGAAAGATATAAAGATTGTAGTTTCCTTTCTGAAGTGATTTTATGATACATTTGAACTTAATCCTGTACTTTTGCAGTCTAAATGTGTCAGCATGGAAATGGCAGAACTGCTCCATCTGTTTATGCAGGGAGTCTTGGCTAAGAAATGCTCAGATGGAGCCTCAGTAATTCAGCATAATTCTGTAGGTTAAGATGAACACATGCTAGAGCACTGCTTAGTGTTCAGTACTTAGAGCACAGTACCTTGTTTAATTAGGAGATAAGTGGTTCTTAAGTATTTCCCCACTGCCAGCAACTGCCGTTTCTTTTTTGAAAGCATGTGACCTACATCTGTGAAATCCCATTGTTAATGTTTCTAATTGCAGATTCTCAACATGTTTGGAAATGACTGACAACCATGATCTCTAATGTGCTGACTGGCAGTCTGAACCTAGCAAGAGAGTGCATAATTCCTAAAACTTCGATTGCTATCAACCAACAGACAAATAATTGAAAATATTCAGAGGTGCAATCTGGAGTGTGCAGAAAAGCTTTTGGTATTCTAGTGGTGGAGAGGTGTGGCTCTTTCCTGC